TTTTTCGCGCGGCCTCTTCCGGTCCTTGGCGCAACTTCCTCAATCTCTTCATCTTCCTCATTTTCCGCAACATCCTGCAACTCTGTGCGAGACTGACTTCTCGAAATCTTCTTGGTTTTAGCGCTTTTGCTGGATACCACCGGGCGTGATCGTTCGCTGGACGATGGCGCAGTATCTGACTCCTCACCATCATACGTTTTCATTGGCTGGACAGAATCAATGTGTTTGGATTTTGAGACAGAACGTGCACGCTTCGAAGGTTGAGACTTGGATGAAGGTTTATTTGAAGGCGCGCGAGAGGGTGGTTTGGAAGGAGGGTCGGAAGAATTGAACATGGGGCAAGGTTTTCGTTGTCGTTTTCGGTGCTCTTCCCTGGTGGCAGGACGTATGAATATCATGCAGCTTAAATTATCATTTTGAACGTACATGGGGTCATCACCAGCTTCCCAACCACTAAGGGCAACCTCACAGTAGAGACAGGTCGCTAAATCATCTCCTGTACGTTGTGGCGTGAATATGAATCCAGCACGGGCCATCTAGAGGAGAACTTAATCTACAGAAATAGCATGGATACATAAAATCAACCTTTCGAGAGTTTGCGCCATGATCTGCGACTTGATCATGTATCCAACCTTCACCCGCAGAAAAGGTATCAAGCCTAGCTTTTTCCATAGCTTTGGAAGTCGGAACGCGAGATTTGTCAGTAAATGTGAATCTTAGGGTCATATAAGATATCATACAATATGAACGGTTGCAATTGACACGACCACTTACCCTCCGTGGCGGTTGATGTCGACTTTAAGTCCACACCGTACAATCGCCCAGCTACATTTGTCTCCACACTTGTCCCAGTGTGTATCAAACGGATCGTCTTCTGCTTCCCATGCTGCTAGTTGCTTATCGCAAATGAAGCATGCGACATTGTCGCGGTCCTCGAAGCTTGGGTTGAAGTAAAACCCCGCTTCTGCAAGGGTTTCGGGCGTCGCAATGAATCGGGGATGAGGTGGATGCTTCCACTTGACAGATACAAATGAGGATTGCTTCGCTGGGTTCTTGACGCGCTTAGGCTTTGAAAAAGAGTCGATTCTGTTCTGAAGGCATTCCATGAAGGAGGTCAGTGGTTGAGGAGGTTTGTCACGCGTTTGTCACGCATCACAAAACTTATTCCAGGACGACAATGTTGACGGGTCAAGCGGTAACGTACAATGCCCGGACGTATGGCAGGAAGTCGGCGACAAAGAGAAAACAGTCAGAGCTTGAAGTATCGAGCGACGCGTCGAAGAAACGTCCCAAGGCGTCGACTGAGCCCGATGTTTTGACTGACCAGGAGGAGGAGGAGGAGCCGAAACCAACACCCTCGACACCACAACGTCCAACAGCCTCACTTGCCCGCGACTTATCGGACATCTTCCAAGCATGCTCACCGAAAGCACCGCCAGCGGCTACGCCAACAAAGAAGCTTGCGCGCCGAATGCTGGCGAGGTCAAAGACAGAGTCGTCGATTGACAGCTCTTCAACCACTGGTGTAGAAAGAACACCTTCTCTCCCCAATATTTCTTCAATCTCTCCTTCCAAACAAGTTGCTGCCCAGTCACGGTCACCTCCGGTCCCCGTACCCGTAAAGCTACCCTCCAAATCAAACCCTCGCACATATGCTGGGCAATCACGTTCCTTTCTCGTCGCAATCCCAGCTTCATCTCTCGATCCTCTTGCAGCAGACCAGGATGATGACTCCACTCGTGAATCATATGCGTCTTTGCGTTCGCGATGGGGTGTCGACAATTCCGAAGACGATCCATATCCCACTAATTTGTCTCCTGCTCGTTCAGATTCTACATCTACCCCTCATGGCACCCCGAGCAAAGCCAAAGGAAAGGCTAAGGCATTGCAAGAGGCTCTCCTGCATGCTCAGTTATCTTTGCCCACTGGGATGATGAACCCTCTCAAGAGTATCACTGAGTTGCGTAGCAAGGGTGAAAGCCGCCGTTTTCTTGACGAGGTTGGCTATCTTTTTGAGGGAATGGACTCCTCTGTTGGAATTGGCCTTAGGAGAAGTAGGTATGTAAGTTTCTTTTCTTTCTTTTCTTTACATGACATACTCTTTAAGTGCTATGGAAATTGTTACGAAATTGTGTGATCCAGAATTTGCAAGAAAAGCGAAGGCCGCAGATTTTCTGAGCAGAACGTGGGACCTTTTTAGAGATGCAGGAGCTGGGAGGGGAGAGGACAAGGTGCAATCTATATGCCCTCTTAGATTCCTATCCTCAATATAACTTTTGGACAGATGTTGGATACTCTCCTCGCTTTTTACGCCGCTCTTGTGGCTCGAGACCCTGCAGCCCTTCGTGAGCTTGCACAACGCCCGCCTACCACCCCTCCTCTAGATACGGCTGCGGGTTGCAGCAAAGGCGATTTGAGCCACCGTGTCAGCAATCTTTCCGTAGCGGATACACTTTTTTTGCTCTTGAAATCACCTTCAGATCCTCTTGCCCTTGTCTCGTCATCTTCGCAGGGAGGAAAGAATGAAGC